TACGTGCTTAATCTTACGAATTTTTTGATAAGCTTTGTATTCACAGCTAGGAGCTACGGTAAGAAAAGTTAGAGTCAAGTCACCTTAAAAAAAAAAAAAAAAACTTCAACTGGATCCAAAATGAAATTCAAGCCAATTTTTTTAATACAATTTTAAGCACTTGAGGTATCGCTTTTGCGAGGTGATCTACGATCCATAGGGTGTTTTCGGAGTTTTCAAAATCTTCAAAACCCCCAAGAAGCGTTCCACTATTATTGCAGCTACCATCTCCATTCACACTTCATGTTCACGTGAATTATTAATTATCCCTTATCTAATCTGCATTTGCAGCGTGTACTGTTGCATCGCTTGCATATGCGTTAGGGGCTTGGGAGCTCGCTATCAGATTCCCGCACTTTATGCATCCGTAAGCTCGCCTAGAGTTTATTCTGAAAGTGCTATATTGCTGGTTAAGTTATGTTTCTATATTACATATTGAGCTTTTCTCGGTCCTCCAATAATTTTAAAATCAAGTTTCCTTCACATGAGTTATTGCAAACGGAATACCTTAATTCAATTCTTGAGTGAAAATAGGTACCGATAAAACTCAAGACTCATTTATAGGTTTATGTAAGATCAAATCAGTAAATTTTGAAGTGTCGGAAAAGGATACTCTTGGAGATTTAATATGACACTTCGGAGGATATAGATTTCTCCTTATTTCAGGTTCATCTACATTCTACACGCACTGTTAGTAACGATGCGATATTCAATCTATCAATTTATAATCTCGTTTTAGCTTACTACATATGGATTGCATTTTGCAAAAAGGAACCACTAGCATTGCAATGTTGCTAAGATTGTGCAACTTCTTTTGACTTGGAGGAAAAACCCGATTATCCCTTAATAGTTTCTATTTTACTCGCTAAAAACTGTAAATTTAAGACAACAATTACCATCTAAATTTCATAGTTTTTCACAATTTCCGCAATTTTATTGCAAAGGATGAAGTTGCACAATCTTAGCAATACTCATCATTGCAATACTAGTGGTTCCTTTTTGCAAAATGCAATCCATATTATATTTGAGTTATTTTCAACTTCCTCATAATTAAAAGTATTGCAATGTACCAAAAATCGAAAACATTATTTAATTCCATGTCTTTTTCAGAAAATGCAGTGCTTAGAATTTATAGATAAACGCCTGTGCAATGTGCATTGACTTATATGAAAAATATGATGGGGTTTCTAATGACAGCGAGAGAAGCTCATGGAAACTGCATCCGGCAACAGTGTTCTCAATTTTAAGCTTCACAGTTTAAAACACTTTAGCTACATTGAAGTTTCCATCTAGCCATTCTACTTATTTTTTGTAAGAATGTTCTGGGTTTGAAGTTGAATTCGAGGATTCAGATCTGTATCAAACTCATCTCAATGGAAAGTTACTTTAACTCGCTACTTTTACTACTTTACTATCTCATTATACTGCATACATAATAGTACATTTTGTACTATTATACATTATATTTTACTATTTGTACTTGTATAACTGTTTTTCCTCAATGAAGGAGACTTTAATATTCTTCTACCTTTCTACCCTTTAAAAACAGAGTCCGAATAATACTAGAGACTTTGACACTTTTGCTTTTTAAATAAGATCTGTGAGCTAGGAAAATATATTTCCTTTTAGTTCTTTAATGCAGGGACATTGATGACTTATAGTCTTCACATTCCTGAGAGGGGGAAGGGGTGTTGGAGTATTATAATCAAGAGGATCGTTCGCTTCTATAATCTCCTGTAATTCTATTTAGGTACACGAACTACAATATTACTTAGCTAAGACCGATTGGGGGAGGGGGGGATTTTTTCGAAATATCTAGAGCAAGACATCGGTATTTACCGGTATATTGCAAAAGGGGGAACAAATCATATAATTGTAAAATTTGATTTGATAGAATCCATGCAATGATTAAATTTTCGATCACTAATTCCTATCATGCTGATCTACTTATCAAATTAGGGAGCGGACAGAATAGAAAAATGGCAAAGTTTTTGGCAATTAAAATCGCGCACATTCATTCTTGTTGCTGACCTCAATTTAAGCGCTGTAACTCAACCTAGTTGCATTGATCGACGCATTAAGTACCTCGCCTGAAAATAGACAAACGACTTTGTTCACCAAGGTTACGAGAGGGGACACAGCCGCAGAATCTAGAATGAAAAGAAAATTTGAAGGTCCGCACTATGAAGACGTTAAGTAGTGGTTGGAGTGTCTTCGAAAACTATATTTATTGTCCTGTCATAAAATTTCGAACACAGATTACTTCAAATTTGAGAAAAATTCCCCAAGTTTTAGTAGGTATTTACAAATCACGAAAGTGCAAATAGGTTAAAAATAATAATATCTCAGTGATTTTCATGATAACATTTCTTATTACCATCGTACATCAATTTCAATGTTTTTTAGTATTTGAATAAATCTGGAAAAAAGTCCCTTGGATCCAGAATCCAGAATTTTAAAACATTTGACGATAAAAAAGCTCTTGATTCAATCCAATTTTTCTTGAGCCACCAGGAAATTCGCTTAAATCAAGGGTATTATTGGCTCTTGATTCAAGCAAAACTCAGATTGAATCAAGAGTATTTTTTCTTGGCAAATTGTTTAAGAGTCTGAACTCTGAATCCAAGAGAATTTTACCAATGAAAAACATTGCTCACAAATTTGTATTGTATTATAAAATGCATGAACCTATTAAGTGACATCAGATACACTTAATTGACGCTCTTTTTCTTTTCAAAAACACTATATCTACCCATCGATAAACTTTCTACTCAGAGGCTTTTCATTATTTATTAGAAACTGTAGAGGTGGATGGCACGCTTTCATTATCGTCATGCATCGTCAAAGCGAATATGATATGATTGATCAGGAAAACGTTTTATGCAGGAATTTCTGAAAAAACTTTTTTAGAAATGTTAAACAAATTATCCGTCAAACAATGTTCCTGTATTTCTTCGTTCTTTGCACAACTGCAATGCACAATGTGTTTTGAAAAATAAGAGATTAATTTTTCTGAAATTTTAGAGATTATTGGTAGCTGTTTTTCCTTAAAAATTGCATCCATCCTCTTTGTATTATAGTATTTTATATTTTAGTGAATCTTTTTGGTCTTCTCTTGCTATCAATACCTAGCTGCGCGTTCTGCTTGCCAAATATAAAAGATATCCTTCATCGACAAACAATATTATGGTGAAAAAATGAATAGGTACTTTAACGGTCATTTAATCAACATTAGCAGTCGTATATTAAGTACCATTTGGATTCCAAAATTGTGATTGTCTTTTTAGCACCAGATTGCATTGCAAGACCAATTTTTCGGAGAGATACACTTTGCATTGGAACCATGTTTTTCACCCTTTCTCAGGACGTAAGCCTTCTTTTGTAAATGTCATCGTTATTTCACCTACGTTCTTCTCCTATCACGCCATCAGGCTCAACTCGTCTGTTAAATTTTTCTGTATAAAACCTCAAAAATGTTTAATGATTGTATTAAAAAAAAAATACGAATATTTCAAATAAAATAAGACTAAACAGGGATTTGTCAAGGATGTTATGAAAAAGAGAAGGAAACAGAAATGCTCTAAATTGAAGAATTGTATTGTAACCAAACCTATGTACCTAACCTGTCCCTAACCTGAACCTAACCTATTATTGAACTTAAAGGCCTTAAGTTATATTTACTGATTTTCATTCATCTCTAAAACACCTACATTTCATATTGGTTATTGAGTCGTCAAGATTCAATTCATTATCTACGTATTTAAGATAATTTTATTCGAACTTTACACAGTGTGCGGTAGAACATTTAAAAATTAAAGAATTTAAAGTCAAGGACCACGCCCTTTTTTTACACGTCTCTCTAAAAGGCACATAGTCCACGAGAGGCACACAAAAGAGTTAATTGAGGTAGGACCCTATTGCTTTCCTCCCCTAAAGGATACATTGGACACATCTTTAAAACTGAAAGTTGTTTTCGGTGACATTATCTTGTTCCTCATCAAAATTCGTGTTTTTTAAGAGGACTACAAGATAAATCTGATGTGTCTGCATTGGATTTGTTAAAATAAAGAGAGACATCAGTGATTTGCTTACTGAAACTGAAAGTTTATAGTTTGCAATTTGTTATCGAGGCTGCGAGACACTTCCATTCTTGCAAACATGACTTGAAACATTCATATTGATTATTTCTGTGGATTTGATTATTTTAAATCATAGATCGTTGTTGAATTTATCATTTAAGTACGATTTTTCTTTCGTTTAGCCCATGTTTAGATTGTCTTTGTATGACTTTTGGAAAATTAGCAATGCTAATCTTTCCTCATTGAATTGGCATTCATCCGTTGCAAAAAATGCAAACATCTGTTGAATGAAGCTCGCAATGCATCACGGGATGCATAAAAATACGTAGTTTGGATCACAAAGAAATAGTTTCATAAGACGAGAGTAGACTATTTGAAACACCATTCACAATCACAGTATTGGAAATTTATTATGAAACGGCTCGTAAAGTGAAAGTTAAAAGAGGGGGATTACCTAGGCATGTGAGCTTAAACTTAGAGATTAACAATGCTAAAAAGCCTACTAATGAAGGGCAACCATTGTTGGAAGTAGCTTTGCCCTTGAACTTGAAATTAAACAGCAATATCATCGATTTTTCGCTTTCAAAAACGCACTGAAACCACAAATGTATAAGGCCGGCGCTGAAAAACAACTACTGAAGCATGATTTCGCGAGGAATGGATAACATGGACGAATATTTCAGTCGATTTGTGTCGGTGGAGAATGACACTGCAGTTATTGCAGGCTGCAACGAACGCATCCCAATACGGGTCAGAGCTGCTTGCACGTGACCTAGTTTCTGAAAAACCCAGGAATCGATAAGATAAAGGCGTTTCTTTCGCGAATTCTGTGTATTACACGTTTAAAAATTGATTCTGGGTAAGCTATAAAAAGCCACTTACCGAGGTGGGTGGTTTGGGGGGTTTCCAAGAAGTCCAGGCTTTCTGAAACAGACGGAATTCCACGGTTAGAGTTTAACACTGGCACGAATTTTCACAGAAATTACGAGAGGAGGAATCGAACGTTTGCGACAATTTCGATAGAGAAAGCCGTAGAGAAAGTAATAGAGAAACTTTGGACTGAGTGCGAGAGCCTGTCGTCGGGGCTAGCGCCAACTCGGTCTCGGAATAGATAAAATCTGCACGCAGGTACGTCATTCTGTCACGCGGGACACGGGCTCCGGGCGGCCATGTTTGCGGCCGCCAAGCCGCGAACTGCATATTTGCGGATGCACTTGAAACCGAGCGCAGAATGCACATTGCACATTGCGCGCTGCACATCTGTGCGGCCAGCCTGGTTCCAATCAGACGAGCCAGGCATCCCAAGTGCATCGCTCCTGTCTTCGTCTTCGTGACACTCGCTCCTTCGAGATTCTTTCGATTTCTACCTTCCACCGGTTCCTCGCCGTCCTCCCTCCGCGATTGTTCGCCCTCTTTGTTCTTGCTAAATGATATAAAATGCTAAGGAGAGAGAGGGAAAAAAACAAATAAATGCTCGGAGCCTTCAATTATTTTTAAGCCTGCCTTTTCCCGACATCCACACTGAAAAAAAATTCTCGGCGTTTTTACCAAGGTCCGTTGGTACCTTTACCACCTCACTTTTTTTTACCAATTATTAGTAATTTTACCAAAACAGACTGGTAAGCTTACCTAAAAACCGGAATTTTTACTGTTTTTTCAGGTAAGAATACCACTTTTATTGGTAATCAATTCCCGGTAACTTTGCCATTTTATCTCGGTAATTCTACCACAGTCGATAAAAAATATTGGCGTTTTTACCAAGGTCCAGTAAAATTTCCGAGAAAGTTCAATAATTTTACCGGGATTTCTCGGTAAAATTACCAATTCCATAAATGTTAATTTTACCAAGAAAAAACTGGGATCAAATAGAACCCTGAATTTTTGGTAATTTTACCCTTTTCTTAGTAAATACACCGAGATTTTTTTTTCAGTGCAGATGTCGTCGGTTCCGTGCGGCGCAAAGGTTCTTCGGATTAATGAAAATAATGAAGATGTAGAGAGAGCAAGAAGAGCCCAAACTGACTGAAAATAATTTACGCCAAAATTAAGTTAGGTGAAATTTTTCAACAGATTAAGTTCCCGTTGGGATCAGAAATGCATAAAAAAATGAAAATCGCCAAAAATTAAACGTAAGAGGTGTAACTGTTTTTGGCAAACGTAATTCGGTGAACTACCGTAAATAGAAGTCCTCTCGATAAAAAGTTCATTATTTTCTTGCAATGTTCTGTTCATTACTATACCCAATTCAATATCTGGTTGTATTTCACTTTGAGAACTTCGTTAAATGGCTGCATGCTCTCATCCTTTTTGCTGTTGAAGCCTTAAAGGTTTCAGAAAAGCAAATTTTTCACAAGTTTTAGCGTGTCACCTTTTAAAAGTGGCTGCTTTTTCTGTTGATAGCTTTAAATTGAGGAAAAAGAAAACAAAAAAAAGAATTCAATGCGGGTTTCCTTCAGATACATTGCATCCCCACTTTAAATGTAAATGTACTCAAGGAAGACTTAAGTTGTGGAAAATATTGAAATCGTATTTGATAATAAAGTTAGTTTTTTATTAGTGGAGGTTAAAAAAAAAAAAAGAAAGGTGTAATTGGAATATGTCAGTGCAAGTACTTGTGCAAGATCAAATTATAAAAGTAGGAATTCATCTTAATCAAAATTAGCAAAAAAGTCATCAAGACGCACATAAAATGTGAATAATTATCGGTTCGTGAAAGGAGATACGGGCCTTAAATTTATTCCGCGAAATCCTACAAATTCACAGGTGAGAGAGACCACTATCGATATTTTAATAGTATCACTGAATTGGCGTCGAAATTACTTCGTTAATAGAAAAACAACAAAGAATATTGATCACGTCGTCTGCTTGAGGCGCCACAAAACTGCCAGGAACAATGACAAAATTCGCAACTTAGCGCCTTCACCTAATCGCATGGACGCACGGCGAATAGACTAACCGAAAGTTTGAAGGCGCAACGAATGTCGCTGAATTTGATTAAATTGAACTGCCTCGCTCTCAAATTGGTATACACGAGTTTGAATGACGTCTAGCACACGATCAGCACGCATTGTACATCGATGGCTAAAGTGCGAGGGCATGTGTATCCGTTTGCGAGGTTGTAGATTTCCTGTCATACTTTATTTTTTCTCTGACAAACTATTCACCGTATTTTTTTATTCTTCTCTATAACTAGAATATTCTGTATGAATTTCAGGATTTAGGGTTGGTTCGTTTCTCTTTGAAAACATGAAGAGGGACCGGAAATTTTGGAGCACAAAAATTGAGGTAGGTACGATATAATTTTCGGCTTTCAACATTTTGGGTTCCTCATAGTTCTTTTATGTACTTTCATTTTTGATAGTTTTTTTTTCTCTCTTTTTGTCGCAAATATGAATGAGTGCATGTATAAGTGCGCTCATACAAGTAATAATAGAATTTCAAAGATGATAGTGATCTTGGGATGCAATTTTATGATCTGCTTTCCTTAGAAGAATTATTATGATCATCGTTTGATGCAAAATCTAATAATGGTCCAACTATTAATCGCATTCAAACTTTAAAGACGTCATTTCCCGATGAGACGACCCTGCTGGTGCGCATATGTGAGTGTGATACTGCCTTCGTCATTTCCGCGTTAATTTCAACGGGGGAAAAATGTAAGCGAAATGCGTACGGAGGCCTAATTGACAGTACTATCAATCCTATCCCATAGAATTATTTTGGTGTCCGTCCAATATCAAAATATTAGCACGGATATAAAATGTATAGTACCAATTAATTTATCTCATTATGAAATCAGTGAGAAACCAATGTCTTATTGTAATAATTTTCTGCAAGGTTTATGTCCCTTTTTATGTCCCTTTTATTTGTCTTAAGATTTAAAAACCCTCGTTTGAAGACGAATGGATTAAAGAAGTATGATACTAGATTTTGTCATGTTCACTCACCCGCTATATGTTCCAACGTCAAAGTCAAACGCCCATGAACGTGAACTGGCTAAGCTTCTTTTCGTCAAACATTCTCCTTCAAAACCGAGTGATACAATTCGTCAACCAGACCATCCGAATAAGAGTGCATGCATGATTTTGCTTCAGATCATCATTCATTACTGTTTAGAGCCCAGCTTATCAATTACACACCACGAACCTACTTTTAATTATATTTATTGTAGAATTTTTGAGGCTTCAGAAAATTTTTCACCGATAAATATTGTAAATAGCGGTTCAATATTAAAGTACATGGAAGCTATTTTCAGCAAATGCGGCGGCTTTCAAGAAGTAGAATCCTTAAAAACGGTTCACATAGCCTCGCGGAAGATGGAAATCAGTTCAATTAAATTATGAAGGGTCGTGCTCTTTTAGAGAGCACGGCATAATTCGTGCGGATTTCCACCGTTGTTTTATTTTGGTTTTAGAAATATCTAATGAACGCCATTTTTTAAAATTTTGTTCAGAATATTCAGTTAGCTGATGGAAAATAAGTATAAATGCCAAGTAATTGTGTCCTTAATTTCCTTTAAAAAACGTAGCAAGCACAACGTGTAACGTGCAATTTTGCAAATCGGAATACAAACACACATTTGCGAGTTGTATACCATTGTACGTTGCGTTAAAGGGCATTACTGGCTACGATTGGCTCCGGCGGATCCAGCAAACTGGCAACATTGTCTTTTCTCCATTTAAACTAATGAAAATATATCGATTTTTGGAGGGGCTATAGGTGCTCTGACAAGAATCGATTATTTAGCATAGGTTTAAATGGAGGCAATCCGGTGTTGCCAAATTGCTGGATCCGCCTCTGGTTGGTGAATGCCAACCAATCCGCACTGCACCTATTCTGCCTTGCTGAGGGAAAGCAGGGTATGCACATTTGCAGGTTGCCAGATTTCTCGTGATAAAATATCTAACTTGGAGGAAATTTATGAATATATTTCCTCGTAATTTGCGGGTATTTCAGATTAAATTGCGAATTAATTCCTCGGAAATACTGGAAGGAAAATGGTCACAAATTTCCCAAAAAATTCGTGTTTTATTTAGGGAACTTGGGCTGCGCCTAAAGGCTCATACGCCGTTCTTCCTTAGCAGGGTAGTATTTCCCCTAGTTCCTCCCGATGTTCGAGCAGTGCCTCTAGAAGTGTTTACGCGCCTTCTAGAGAGTTCTCCCGTGGGTTTGGGCTGAGACAGGGGACCCGAGTCTTAAGTTGCCGATCTGTAACTCTCACCCTATGCCTGTCCCCTCCCTGGACGGACGGGTCAGCCTTCTTTTTCTTGCATCTTCACATATTCATCGGCCCGGCGGACTCAGCAGCCCACCACCGTCCGACGCGCCGTATCTTTACCGGTCCATCTACTCGATGTGGGGTCTTCAAGTTGCCATATTCAGAGATCACTAAGAGAATGACGATGGAACTATTAAATGTTCTGTGCCTATAGATTGCAGAGTTTCAAAATGCTTACTCAATGTATATTCTTCTCCTTGTTAAATAATGTAAAATTATCGCGAGGCGGGAGCTTTATCTGACTGTTGAGAACAACTACTCATTAATCGATGGATCTGCTTGATTTCCAGAACACTGGAAAATAAAAACACATCGGATCTAGCTAGAGTCAAGACTCTTAAAAACGTCGACAAGAAAAAATACTCTTGATTCAATGATTCAATCAGATTTAAGCTTAAATCAAGAACCAAGCCTCTTAATTTAAGTGGATTTACTTTTGATTTAAGCTCAAATCTGATTGAATCAAGAGTCCATTTTCTTGTCAATGTTTTCAAGAGTCTGGACTAGATCCAATGCGTTTTTTTCCAGTGTAGCGTGACGTGTTTTGCGATACATCGATTGATCTGCCATTTAAACCTATGGAAAAGGATAGATAAACAGGGTGTTTGAAATGAACACCGTAATAATCTATTCTTTACCATAGCTT